AACGCCGCAAGTTCGTGTCGTTCTCGGTACCGAACAAGATCTCGAAGGACTGCCTAGTCAATGCGTTCAGAGGTTGCGGCAAGGTCTTCACGCACAAGGGCACCTTAAACTCTTCGCACCGCCTGATCGTTGCCAGTGCGGATCTCTTGGCAGAGGCTGGTACCGACCCGTGGCTCAAGGGCACTCCGCCAAGCGAGGAATGGAAAGAGATCTGTGCCTTTGCCAAAGACATTTCTGGGCCCGAGGATTTCGTCGTACTCTTCGACGGCAGAATGCGGGAAATTCGCCGCGTGTCCGAGTCTTGGCGGGGTGATGTGACAAGGCTCCCAGGCTCCAAGGCTCAAAGGCTGCACCTGGTTCTATTAAGGAAGACCTCCTGCTGAACCAGCAGCACACCGAGGAGTGCACCATCGTGTACTCAGGTGGGTGCCCGCCGAGAACTGGTCGCACTCGCCGCGTTCCGCTGGCTGCAAAGAAGGTGGAGACAGGAGCGGTTAAGTTCCCGGTCGCACGCACCAAGATTCAGACGACGAAGAAAGGCTCCTTCACAGTCTGCGGCGAGGCTTCTACGTACCAAGGCACTTACTCAGGCGTGGAGTGCCGTGCGGTTTCTGAAATGCCCCTCGTGTCTGCAGACACCAAGAAGAAGATCATTGCTCCGGCAACAACCGGCGACCTCCCGACACCGCCAGAGGACTGGCAGGATCGCCACGGCTCCGACGTACCCTTGTTCTGGAACGAGTCGAAGCCGATAGCATATTGGAATGCCAGCATTGAGGAGTTTTGCGCGGAGGCAGTGTTTGACCTCACGGCTGGCACCGGTGCTCTGATGGAGGCTTCTTTGACTGCCGGCATCGCATACCACGGGCTTTGCAGCACCCTTACTTGTCCAGTAGATTCGTCAGATCATTGTCATTTGATTTTATTTAAATTATCCGAGGCCTCAACAAGGAGCACATGTCGTGGGTCCAGGCGGTTGCTGATCGCGCAGCTTGCGGAATGATGGCTTTGGAGGGATCCACTCTTTACTCGGACGAGAATGCCAAGGCGGTGAAGAAGCATTTCCCGCACGTTCTGGAGAGCTTGTCCAACCAAGACGACCAGGACGAGGCACCTGCTGAGCCAGATAGCCCCCGCGATCAACCGCAGTGATGATGTTTCACTTCGACCGAATCCGCCAGCTCAGGCACCAGCTCAGGCACCTAGGCTCCCAGGTTCTCAGGCTCTTGACCTTTTGCCGGGCTCAGTTTTGTCAGTAGTGTGTAGCAGTGACTACTGTCGCCTGAAAAAGCCGAAATGCTCTTATTGTGGCATGACATTGAAATAATCGCCGAGGATGTTGTTGTAGTCGCCTGAATGCATTAAAGCGAGCCGTTATGGCCCCAGGTTCCCAGGCTCTGAGGTTCCCTGCTTGGGTTCGACATGGGCTGCCGATGGAGGCCTACCAGACGCCTCTGGGGCAAAACCAGTCTCAAGACGGCTTCTCGTCGGTGGCCCCGGGGGTGCCAGCATGGTGGCAGCAAATCGCAGAGCTTGCGGAAGCAGGCTGTGAAAGACGGCTTGGTCCCCAAGGCTCGAAGGGCCTTCGTCATCTGGTTCCAGGAAAACTCCGAAGTCAAGAAAGGCGCTCCCAAGCACGAGTTTCTCAATGAGATGAAGCATCTTGGCACAGTCTGGCAGGGCATGACCGACAAGCAGAAGGCACCATTAATGGCGAGGAGCAAAGATGAGTTCATGGCTCAGCGAAGTGCACTGGCCGTTCTTGGCATCAGGATGCGGGGCTCCACGACCAGTGCGGGCGGCCCCGACGAGGCGAAGGACCCCCCTGCCGCTGACGAATCTGGCGGTCGCGTTGGCCCATTTGAGCTTAATGGTGCAAGGGCTCCAATTGGAGGCGGAGCCTATGGCAGTGTCTACAGTTGCCAGCATCCGCAAAGCGGCCTTAACGTGGCGGTGAAGGTTTATCGTGGCTCCGATGACCCCGCGGATTGCAGGCACGAAGTGGAGCAGATGAAGCTTCTAATGAAGGCCGTTCCGCAGCAGAAGATGATGTGGTTCCCGCTTCTTGTCAGCTCGGGTGTCACGGGCAGACCTTGGCCATGGATGGCTACTAGCCTATGTGGGCCCAGCCTGGCAACCGCACTTCGAAATCCTGCGGCGCATGGCAAGCCGAGGACGTGGTCTGTGGCAGCTCAGCTGAGAAGTGCACTGCAGACCTTGCATGACGCAGGCATCCTACACTTGGATGTGAAACCTGGCAATGTGCTTTGGTGCCCTTGCACAGATCAGGTGCAGGTGTGCGACTTCGGCATGAGTGAGAACATGGCACGGCTCCAGAAGGCTTCTCAGGCTCCCAGGTTCCTGCAGTATGTCACGGCTGCCTATCGACCCCCGGAGCTGTGGCCCGCTCGTGTGAATGGCGATGGAGACTGCGGTGTCAGAAAGCAGCTGCTGACTGCAGCTGTGGATATGTGGGCCTATGCTTGCGTGGTGTGTGAGG